TGTTAGATGCCTCCCGAGCCTTCTGTGTGTGGGAAAAGGAGAGGGACTATCGGGCATCAGAGTGTCCTGCAGCTTTAAAATTCACTCAGCGCCTTATGAAAGGAAAAGAAGATAAAAAGCTATGACTCCTGCTCTGGGTGGGAGACAAGAGGAAGCAAAATAAAATTGGCAGAACAGCCAACCTCCCTATGCTAGTGTCTTGAGAGTTTTTTTGAAGAATGTGATTTACAAGTGTTTGCAAGAGAATGACTGGCTTCGTGTCTGCTCAGGAAGCTGGAGTAATGGATTGCTAAATAAGGCTGGGGAGGTGAAACAGCAGGCTTCTACCCTTACCTTGCCAAGCTGAGCTCAAAACTGTGGACCATAGCACTAAATACTAAATGTGCAGTTCTCTGGAGAAAGTGTAATTGAGGAAATTATAGACTGTCATGTGAGGAGTCTTACTCCAAATTTTGCAACTCCCAGGCTACCTGAGGCATTGAAATTACACCTCGTAAGGAAATCTTTTCTTCTGTCCCCTGTGGGAATGGTGTTTTGTGGAAGCTTAAGACACAGGGCGAGATTCAGTCCAGCACCTTAGGTACCTGACTGGTACTTATCTCTTAGATGCTTTAGTGAGGCAGCCTTCCTGAAGCAAGCGCCTAAAGTCACTATCTGGTCAGTGGAGAGAGGAAGGTCCTCTAGAAGATCTCCAGATCATCTGCCACTGTGATAAGTGGACAAGATTTTCCTTTTGGGAACTTCGGAAGCACTTTATTTTCTCCACTGAGGAGGACTGCTTCCTTCACTACTGATGCTCAGGCACCAGTTCAGGGCTTAAGCTAGTTGGGCAACATCCTGACCATACCTATTACAAGAAAATGGCCAAGTTAAGGACCCTGTTTATCTTCATCTTTTCCAACCTGAGCAAACCTTGGTTATCAGCCCTGCTTTGTCCTCGTAAACTGAGCAATTTATTGTCCTGACAATTATCAGTGCCAATGGATGTACCAGATCTGGCTGGGATAGAGTTAATTTTCTTCATAGCAGCCCATACGGTGCTGTGTTTTGGATTTGTGACCAAAACAGTGTTGATAACATATTCATGTTTTAGCTGTTGCTGAACAGTGCCTGCACACTGTCAAGGATTTCTCTGTTTCTCATGCTGCCCCATCAGAGAGCAGGATGGGAGACCACAAGAAGCTGGGAGGGGGCACAGCCGGGACAGCTGACCCCAACCGACCACAGGGATATCCCACACCGTATGACGTCATGCTCAGCAATAAAAGCTGGGGAAGAAGGAGGAAGGGGCGAGGTTCAGGGTTGTAGCGCCTGTCTTCCCAAGTCACCATTATGCATGATGGAGCCCTGCTTTTCTGGAAATGGCGGAACACCTGCCTGCCCATGGGAAGCAGTGAATGAATTCCTTATTTTGTTTTACTTGTGCACACAGCTTTTGCTTTATCTATTAAACTGCCACTATCCCAACCCATAGTTTTCTCACTTTCACCCTTCTGATTCTCTCCGCCATCCCATTGGGCAGGAGTGGGTGAGCAGCTGTGTGGGGCTGAGCTGCCTACCAGGGTTATCCCACGGCAATGGAGAAGTACTCCAAACAGTTGTTACCTTTAAGAATAAATGATTCGAGGGAAAGAAAAAGTTTGTAATAAGATGTGCTGCACAATTTTCTGATCTAACTTTTTGCTGTTAACAAGTCTCAATTAGGCAACATATTATTTCCCTAAACAAAGGTGTGAATATTTGTCTATGCTGTTATGCAAACAGAAGACTTAATGCCTATTCTCATTTTAACACGGGGTGGAACAGAAGAAAACAAACATCACATGATTCACAAAATATATTTTTAGAATTCTAATTATTTGTTTAGATATATGAACTATTGAACTAACTCTTCAAACAGATAAAAGCTGCACATACACACACGCACACACACATTTCTATGAATGGTGAGGAAGTTGAGGCACTAAGAGATTAGTGATGTAAGAGCTGTCCTCAGTCACACAGGCTGGTGGAAAAACAGAAGAAAAAAAATCTCCTAATCTTGATATTGACAGTTAAAGCATTGTCATCACCATTAGTGACTCCAGCAACATTTCCAGACAGGTATCTCTTGAGAAATTCATGTGCTTAAATATAAAGTCCTGTGGAACTAGGAAAAGCATGCAATTACGTTAGGTCCAGAGAACCTGTTACCATTACCAATTAGGCTTTCCCATTACAGAGGACTGCCCTAGAGAATTACCTACCTAGAAACCCCTATATAATGAGTGACTAGTAAAGTTTGTTACGTATTTTTTTAAAATTATTTTTCTAGTTTTTTAGGCTTCACAACTGAGGCAAGAACAGCAATCTGTATTCTACCTCGACAGTTCAAATTTACCAAACAAATTTGGCACCAGAACCAATTACTTCATTTTAACTGAGATTCTGAAATATTTCATATGGTCTTTTTCAAAGTTTTGTCCCATCCCTCCTCTAATGGAGTTTCCACTACGGAATCACAGAAGATAGAGCTGGAAAAGACTTATTACATCATCTGTTCTACCTTTTTGATTTTCTAAAGTGCAAGTGGTGTCACTATGCCCTTTGGCCCATTATTGGACTTAATCCTGAAAACTAGCTTAAATTGACAGGAATTCTCCATGTTCAGTCTAATCTACTTTACCACCACACCCCCCCCCAATCCCCTCACAATTCCTGAAAAACACCAAAGGACAGAATGCCAACAGCAAAAGCAATTACTAAAGCAGCTAAAAGGACATGGTACCTTCTAAAGCAATAATTGCTCTAATTTAGATTGAATATGCATAAGCTGTTCAAATGTATAATGGTATTGCATTCTGAGGAGTGGAGGCACTCCAAGGGTCACAAAGCTCATGAAAGCTTCAAAAAAGAGTGTAGTTGTCAAATAAGACTTCTTGAGCTCTAGCATGCTTAAAAATTAAAATAATTTGTCTTCAAGTTTTAGAAATTAGAGTGGTACTTTTATGGCCATTCATGTTCCAGTATGCAAGGCAAAAGCCAACCCTAGCTGTACATGCACAACGATGGGCTTTATTTCCACTCACTAAAGACATGTTGTAGTGGTGGTGGATAATTCTATGAAAACATAATCTCAGGGGTTGTTAAAAAGCAAGCAGAATGCTAGGAATTAATAATATAAAAATCGAGAGCAAACACAAAACGTGGTGCACCCATGCCTTGACTACTGCAACAGATCTAGTCACACATCTCAGACAGGAGATAGTAGACTAGGAAAGGTACATAGAGAGACACAAGGTAGACAGAAGAGAGATAAGGATAAACCATGGTCTGGGTCAGTTTCTGTATCACAGGGATTAAAATAGAGAAGACTATGGAAGACAAGACAGCTGAAGGGGGATATGAGAGAGCTCTATAAAATCTTGGTCATCCTGGGAACAATTATTCACTGTTCTTCATAATCGGAAGAACAAGGAGGCATCAAATGAAATTAACATCTGGTAGGTTAAAACAAATAAAAGGGAGTAACAGTTCACAGAGTGCACAGGTCTGTTGTAGAATTTATTGCTACGGGAAACTCTGGATGCCAAAAGTTTAGATGAGTTCAGGAAGTCGCTTCAGAAAATGATTTGACAAATTAATGAAAGAAAATTCCATCAAGGGCTAGAAAATACACAGAAATAACCTCTGGGCCAGGAAGTCCCTAAGTTGCAGATTGCCAGAAGTTGTGAGGAGTTTTGCTGTGGGTAGATTTGCGGAGGTGCACGTCCACTTATTTTATCCTTTCCCTGTGGCATTCACCCCAGGTCACTTCCTTGCAATAGGAGACTGAGCTAAACGAACCTCTGGTCTGTAATGGTATAGCTCATCTTACATTGTGCCTCTGTCACAAAGCAGAGATCACAGTGGCAAAACATCCTCCCTTCTCTTCCCATTTAATACGGCTTCCACCTCTTTGCTGTATGGGTTGAACACGTTGCAAAGTAACTTTGTAAAAGCATGAGCTCTCGCTTGTCCTTGCTCCAGATATCCTCTGCCTCCGGGTGAAATTGGAAGTAACAGCCAAGGCAGGTCCTCCCTGGCACTGCCTGCAGGATGTGGCATCTTGGAGAAAGCTGTCACATTTGATGCCTGGTGCATACATGCTGGTATGCATTTTTAAATATAGTGGGGGCAAATAGCCTCAGATTTTAGATTGGGGCCAGATGGCTGATTTAAGTGAAAATAACACAGATACACAGAGGACTGGTCACTCCAAAAAGACTGATCTGTGTATGTACCAGGACGCACAGGCTCCGAACAGTACTGCACGTCAGTTACTTTATATTTCAACACTGTATTCATGAAAATAAGAAATAAAGACCTGATGCATCTCCAGACACTGCGAATTTAAAGCTATTTCTGAAGCTGGCTTTAATTCTTTGACTTTCCAAGTGAACTCTTGGCTTAGGATGAGACAAGCAGCCACAATTTTTGAGCCTTTTTCCCACTAAAACTACACCACACTAATTAAAAGATAAAGTGAAATTTAAGGAATTTTAAGGCTGAAAATGTAAGGTTTTCAGATTTACAGAATATATATTATTCAACAGCTAGGTAGTAAACCAGGTCACCATATATTCACATTCATGACCATCTCCCTTTTACCCTCCTGAATACAGAGAAGTGCAATATCAAAAGTACAAGCAGAAAAAAAGAATATTTTGAATGCAAATTATAAAATGTTCAGTGTCAAGTCTCTCATTCACACATACTAGTTTTACAACTGAAATTTCCTCATTTAGTTATGGTTTAAGTAGGATAAATATAGCTTGAATTTACTATTCTCTCCTCTTCCCCCTCACAAGATGTCCAACCAAATCAGGGAACTGTTTAATCAAGTTTTTAAGTGAAGTGTTAAATTGTGCCTCTTGGCAGCAATCCTCTCCCAGAAGTTTACATGTTCCCAGCGCTTGGCACTTGCCGTTCTCATTGTTTACCTGTGGTGGATGTGAAACCAAATATACTACAGGACATACCATGAACAGCTGCAGCAACAGCACCAACAAAAGCAACATGTGTTGTTGGGCCTTTGGTTTCCAGGTGCTTGAGACACAGCTGATGTTCCTTCATTTTGTGACTGCTGCCTCTTTCTCATTTCAGCTACTTCAGTGCCCAAGTGGCTATAAGAACACAGACATAAGAGATGTACAGAATTACTACAGACCGTCATACAGTACATTCACATTTCTACAGCAATCTCTGATTCTACTGATTCTCACAGCTCGTGGCAACAAAAGCACGTGGCCATCAACAGCGCTGGCCAAGCAACAGTTCTGTTGTGTTAAAAGCAGTTTCCAGAAGACCACATTTTAGTGACACGCTTACGCTACCGTGCCGTTGAATCACGTCTATTCATATTGCTTTGGCCGGACTAAAAGGATTGTTTATCGCCCTTCTGAACAGCAAGCTACACAGCTTGGGTAGCACTTGGTAGAGACTGAGTTGTTCCTTACCATATGACTATCACAGCTCTTTCCATTGTACTAAAAATACAGCAGGATGGTTATTCACTTTAAACATGATCTGGAAACTGATCTTTTTTACTTTTTGACTTCTCTCGTCAATGCTGGACCAATGAAATTGATAAAAGTGATATTATATCATGGGTACTAACAGCTGTCTGTTAAGAGCCAAGATTATTATAAGTGTCATAACTGGGAGGTTTGTTACTTAAGAGTTATTCTCTGTAAATAAAATATGTATTTCCAAAATACTTTTCCAACTTGGGGACTATTTTCTGGTCACAGAAGATTTTCTCTTGCTTATTGTCAGTCTTTCCTAGGTTTTATTAGGCCAAGATATTTTTCTTTCCAGTGACTTGCAATATGCAGCTGGAAGTAATATTCCATGCATTACTTAGGTCTCAAAAGAAGTTAAAACATTTATTGCTAAATTATGGTATTTAGGAAGGTTTAGATGTCAGCTTCTAATTGTTCACATCTTCTTCATACAACAACTGTTGTAGAGTTGTAGCCAGAGTAACGGCTATTACAAGCTTACGTAAATTAGAATAAATTTAGTACTTTTGCCTTGAAAAAGTACAAACGGATTACTGTGGGGAGGAGCCCTGTTTAAAACAGAAGCGGGTAGAAGATGGCCTGGTGTGAGCAGGCATGCTCTGCGCTCCACACCCCCAGGGCATCCTGCTGCAGTTCGGAGCGCTGGGGAAAGGCAGTCACGGGTTGATTTGCCACCTGGATACATCACACACAGACAACCGAGAGATGTGCTACCCCTTCCACCCATGTTCAAGCAGCAGCTGTGAGAGTTTGCATTTATGCAGTTACTAAAACTCCTGAAGTTCTTCTGTAGTAGTGTCCTTATAGACAGTTTACACACAACAACATGTAGCAAGGATACTAGGCTGCTGAACTTGAACTCATGCTGCAAAACTCAAGATTGGTGGCTATTTCAGCTTCTTGCACAGCTGACTTTCCCATGTGCACTGCCACTGAATAGAATCAAGTCATTTCTGAAGTGTTTGGTCAAATTAAGCAACGAAAAATCATTTAACTACCTGTGGGGAGGGCACCTGCTTATGCTATTGATATTACTTCTTATGGTTTATAGTTGCTCAGCTCTCCAAGATGAAAATAACATATCAAAAAAACCCCCCACCTTTTTTTATCAAATGCAAACGTGTTGTTAACAAGGGATACGCTGACATAACTGAAAAAAAAAGCCCATATTTTTATGGTAGGTAGGAAGGAAAGGAAAAGTGTTGCAGCACAGTATGTGGCTCAGACCACGAGTGGCAGGAAGGAGTCAGTTTCTCCAAATGGCAGCGCTGAACTTCTGCTGACTGCGCATGATGCACTTAAATTATGTCATAGAGAGCTGTGTCATGCTGTGAATGGTACTTGCTTCAGCAAGTGCAATGACTATGGTTAAAGAAATTAAAGCCAGATATTTTCATGGGGAATGTTTGTTTCTTGTAAGTAAGATAGATATTCTAGAAACATCTGTACAAAATGACAAAATTTATTCATTTCAGAAACTGGCGAAATGACCCATACTTAGGTATTTGTAGGGCTGTAATCTTGGAGCGAACACATCCCGTGCATTTCACCTGTGTACCTAAAATTATGCATTTCTTACATAGTTTTAGCTAGATATAAAAAAGGTACTATGGCAGAATCTGTTGCACTATAAATACAGGGGGGGTGGATGAAGGTTATCCAGGCAGACACGATGATGACAGCTGGTGACTTTGCTGTAATTTCACAATAACTTTTACACAGCACAAGCTGCTGTGCTGCTGAAATAAATGCCTCTCTCCCTTTTCTCCTGCACAACTGACAGTCACTCATTCCCTCACCTGAGCTGCCCCCTTCTCTCTGCTGGCAGCAGCATTTGTGCAGGTACTCGGTGAATTGGATAAAAGAGTAGGGATGATTTAAAATTAATCCAGAGGGGAAAGAAAAAAAAAAATTAGTTTTAACTTGGTTCAAATCCCAGTCTTGTTCACCTTGGGAAGATGTGAGCACTTGGGCCAGAGCAAGGGAGGAAGCAGAACAGGACCGCACGAAAACCAGGCAGGTGTGGGGAGCACGGGGACGACTTCCCTCAGTCCCTGCTCGCGCTGGCGTGCATGGATGGTGGAGTGGATGGATGTTGCTCAGCTGCAGAAAGGTAAAATCTGCAACTGTAATTCTGAACACACAGTACATGGCATGTCCAGGGGGCAGAGGCAGAACTGTGGTTTCACAGGAATGGTCCATGTCCTTGGCCCTGCCCGGCAGCTTCCACCACTGAAAATTCTCCAGCATTCACCTTCTGGTGTGGACTGCTAACTGTTTCGGAGGTTTGCAAGTCTGGCAGTACATGGTAGCAACAGGAGTTGTGTGGAAACATGGGTCTTCGTGGCAGAACTTTTCAGGAGGCATGGTTTCATCCAAGGGAGCTCAGAGCCTGCAGGCTAGCCAGTCTTTAGAGTGGGACTGCTTGCTTTGCTATGCTCGACTGCTCTGCAGTATGGGGAGGGACATGACCCGTCCCTTTCCTGGCCATGCATTATTTGGAGGAGGAAGAGGGCAGTCCTTGATTGCAGGTACAGTTAGGTATCTATTTAGGTTGTATTTGAAAGGAAAAAAACCAACAACGACAAAAAAAACCCCACCCCACCCCACCCTCCCAAACACTGTGTACTTATATCCAGGGATAGTTTGCATTCCAGTCCTAATAGAGTATGTTTGGTTACTTGAGGCTAAAGCATTAGTTATGATGCTAGGAGAGTGCTGCAAGGGGTTACATTTTGAAATGGGTTGATAACACGGATACTATGTAGTGGGACTGACCTTAGCTTCCAGTTATAATGGGCAAAGATCTTACTGGCACAGTGGGACAGAGTTGTACTTAAACCATTTCAGATTCTGTCCTTTCCACAGCTGATGTTGGTGTTCTCTCTGAACCTTGCTGTATCTGACAATGCAAACTGTTATTTAGCTTGGTGTGACTGGCATGCTGATCAATACAAGCGCAAAGTTGAAAATCCAAGCAATGAGACAGCGTTCGCCGTGAATGCATGAATGATGTTCACTCATCTGGCTTAACCACTGGCTGAAGTCAAAATGATTAGCCCTTTTCTTTTGCAAGTGTTACATTCTCCTGGAGAGCTTCTAAGCTGAAGTCTATAAGAAGTAGGAAAAATCCACCCCATGATGCAAAACAATAATATGTTTACTGAGGATGAAGTAGGATGGGTGGAAACTTTAGCTTCATGCTTATTTTGGTTGGATTTCATGTTTCATGTTGTATTTGCAAATGCCAGATGTCATCTACGCAAAACTGTAATTGATTCCATCAGATTATTTAGGATGCAGAAGCAGGAATATCTTAATTCTTGGCTATATTTAGACACTGACTGTAGACAGAGGGTTTATATTTGGTGCCTTGGTCCAAGGCAAGAAAAAGAAATTTAGAATCTTTAATTCAGCAAGTCAGTCTGATGAGATAAATTATTTTTCTGTGATTAAGTGTGAAAGTTAGTACATAACTGTGAAGGAGTAGAATATTGTGAACTGATACCGTGCAGACCTTCTAAGACAGTGGTACAAATTTCACATGCTGTCTCCAAGTTCTCAGTTTGCCTTTTAGCTCTTTCAACATTTTCATTCTTCCTGGGACCCTCTAGCTTGGCAAAAATACTGGGTGGTGAAGGTGGGTCTTTGTCCAATAGAAATAGTATTTCCCCTTGGTACTCTATATGGTCTCTCAGACTATCACAACACAGGTATAAGCTTCTTCCGCCAGTTTTGCTTCTGTTTCTTTGCCTCCATTTGGTGGCACAGTTTACTAACAGTGTTATGATTTCCATTTGTGCTGATAGGAAATAGGAATAGTATTCTATTTTGCTTGCCTGACTCATTGTCTTGGGGGTGGGTAGGTATTATGGCCCTCTGAGCAATCCCATAATCACAAAGGATTTCATTTTGCAGAACATCTGCTGTCCCTACTCTGCAGCTGAGGAAAGGAACCCAAGGGTATAGCAGCGGTTTATTATACAAGTTACGAGACAGGTAGTTCATAAAAGCTGCAGAGCAAGAAAGTCTGCACAGCCCCGTGTTGTACAGACAACAACTTCAATCTTGCGGTGCTAGAGGAATATGAAAACTAAAAAACCCTTTAGAAATTTGGAGTTAGGCTTCCTGTCAGTTGCGGAACCGATGGCACAAGGATCTATTTCTGTGTTTAGACAGTGTAATTACCCCTTATTCCACTGGGTACTCAGGGGTAATTATTACAGAAATCCCCTTGTGCACAGAGCAGTATCTTGGGAAGAGAGCTCAAAAAAGAATAACTGATGGAAGAATCATTTGGTTTATTACATGTATACCTGGGCAGCCCTACTGAATACTGACTACAGTAATTTCAAATTCCACAGAGTGCCTCCAGAAGATGAAAAGAAGGTAATTTCTGAACAGTTGCACTTCCCTGACCCTCCACCTCCTGCAGGACTTGTGCTAAGGTTTCAGAGTGTTTTCCCCAGAAATTCCCAAGGTGTTGGACACGGCACGAAACACAGGCTGCAGCATTTCAGGCATTTCAGTGGCTCTGTTGATACCTATCCTCTGATGAAGCAAGAGTGACTTTTTTTTTTTCTTTATTTTTTTCCTGGCCTCAAAAGACTGTCGTTACTGCCCTGCAAATTATCTGAACTTTTGGCACCATCCCATCCAGCCCCCTCTGCTCATTTTGGAGCTTCCCCCTGCACATGACCTTCCTGCAAGCATTTCTGTTCCTCTCTCAGATCAAGAGGGCATTCCCTGGAAAAGCGCATGCACTAGGAAGTCATAGAAGCATCTTGAAACTCCATTAGGGATTGAGAATTTTTTATCTTATCTTCTGGAACCAATCCCTAATGGCTGTTTTGAAAGAGAGATATCATGTAAGGGTGTGGATAAACACACACCATGATTTTATACAGCGGGCAAGTGGCATTATGTCTTTTGTTGCAGGTAGGACACATAATGGCTTAGCTTTCAGGACAGAATTGGAGCAGAATCAGCTAGAGCAATCTGTCTTTTTTCAAACTTCTGTAATAGGCAAGAAAGATCACCTTGCATCAGGACGGAGCAGTCAATGACTTAAGGATATCGAGGGTGATTTACTCTGCAGGCAAGAAACTTAGCCCTTAAAATACTTTTTTGGGGGGGTGATTTATCACATCAGCTCCTCTGCGTTGCTTTGCTTCCTTTAACTTTGCCAATAAAGGCCCAAAACCTCAACTGTGTAGCTTAGATAAATTCAGAGCTTATATGAGCTTACACCAGCCCCAGATGTGACCCTACTGATTTCTTAACCATAGTTACCGTTTTCACTGTCTTAACTGGTGCTCACTTGGTACACGGATTCCTACCAAGAATTGTTTTTAAGTTTAGGGACATTTAAAGTCTTCAAGCCCTAAGCATTAGGGTAAATACTGCCCATTGAAGACCTCATTCAGGATCCATTGTAAGAAATAAAGGTGCACTGAGGAAGGCTTTGCACAGTGTGGATTCAAGACTTCCAACTATCATTTTAGATTTTCCACATATTTTTAAAATCTCAACTTTTGTAAGAACAGAGTAACATTAGCAGTTCATTGATTTTTTTCAACTGGTTGTTTTGGGGACAACTAGAGTGATCTTTACAGGATTTTGACTGGTTGCTTGAGTTTTAGTTTCCTAAAACAGTTCAGTGGGAGAAGTGACAGAGATATCCATGAAATACTATTTTTTTAAAAGGAGTTAGGTGGCTTGTTATATTTTTAATGTATAAGACATCTTTTAAAAACCAAACACTAAGCAAAACCCCTCAGAGAATGCCATAATATGTTACTTCTAATGATCTGTGATATGCTATCTGTTTTAAAGCCATATTTTTTTTAAGGACAGGCTTACTAGTGTACCAGAAAAATGCAACACATCTTGGATGCACCTGCCAGTTAAATAATCTCACAGGTGCATGTGCTGCTCTTCCAATGCAAAGACAGCCCTAACATAACACCGATCTTTTATTTGTGCTGTCTTCATTCATTTAGAGGAGTGTCTTAAGGGTACCAGAAGCTAAATGAAGACAGACCAAGAGTTTTTATCAGATATCTGTGAGCTATAAAGATTTCCATACACCCCTTGCAATGCTGAGTGAGTAGTGAAATCGAGACAGCAGAGCCATGGGTGCCCTTTTAAGTGCTGTTGGCCACTTATACAGTCTTCACAGAGCAGTGGCATCCATACTAGTCACTCTGCCCAAGAGAAACCTTGACATGGGTACATTCTCTCTTTTGCCACAGAGTCCTAAAAGCCGTTCAGTATTTCACAAATAAATTAATATAAAGTAATAGAGAAGAATAAGTCTACCACAAAAGAAGTGATTGAGTTACCTTGGGCTCCATTTACTTATTTCAATGTATCTGTAGTCTATTACAGAACAGTTAGAAGCTATTGGCAACAATGGAACCTTAATTGCACTTTAATTGATTTAAATATACCCTGGAAAAATTTCATTTCAAACATAGACATGGAAAATTTCAATTAATTGCAGCAGTAAGGAAAGTTTGAAATGTTTGCGTTTTTAAGAATTTGTGTTTTGGAAGAAAAGATCAATGCAAAAGGCAATTTCTAAAAACTATTCTGGTTAACACTTGTCATGTCAGAATTTGAATAAAAACTCCAAATTTTAACAGATTTGCTTTTCTGCGTTCTTCAAAAACTGTATTTTGCACCATGTCTAAGTTCTAAAAACTTGTGAGGAGTAAGCAGGTCCGAATCAAAACAGAAGTTGACTCTTGTATTTGTAAGTAGACCTACGTGTTGCATACATACCCCATGCTGATGTGCCAGTGCACAGATTCTGTGTTCTACATGCTGAGTTCAGCCCATAAAGGGCATGCATATGTTATAGCTTTTAATTTTAAAAGCCTGGCTGCCTTCATCAAGCTGTATGAGCCATTGCTTTTAACTCTGACTGTCCCATACTGATTACCAAGGTGACAGAACCATAGAGGGAATTTATTTCTCTTAAGTAGCTTGAAGTGCCCAAGACACCCCACAGCCTCTGTTCTGTCATTCTTGTATAAATGGCAGACCACCTTTTGGCAGCAACTTTTGAAATTGTAGGTTTTGAATACCTTTTGTCTCAGAGAACAGGTTATTGCACCTACTGAATTTTTCTTTAGGGAACTGAAGACTTGAGTATTTACAGCAAAACATCTTGCTCATCTATTAGTTACTGCAACTCAGCAAAGAGTTTCAAGACATGTACAGCTCTACCGTAAAGACATCTTCCTCCTGTCAGGTCTTCTGCTCTGGAGATGTTTTGACTCTTTCTGAAGTCTTTCAGAGCAAGCTCTGAGAAG